ATGCGGCACTGCAGGCGTGCTGCTGCCGGGGGACAGACTATGAGGTTAGAAAAAATAGCTCACATACCTTGATTTTACATTGCAGATCTTCTTATAAGAAGTTAAAACCACATCTGTGTTATAGATTAAATATTATGTTTTGAAAAATTAGTGTGAGGATACTTGGAAACATCTTGAATTAAATAGTCGAGTAGAGGATGGACAGATTCTTTTCAGACAGTAACTTGGTCTTGTTCCTGACACATGCTCATTAAAGGGTAAAAAAGGCAGTTTATGCTCATTGGCATTCTATAGAAATTCTGAATTTATATACTGTGTACGTAGAATTAAGGAAGTGTAGTATAGTTCATCTGCAATTTCTTCTGCTGTATTAGTTCCCAGGTGGGAATAGGAGTTGTAGCTGATATAGTGAGTGCTAAATGAGACTTTAGAATTAATAATTGAAAACAGACACTAAATTAAAGAAAAAAAAGCCAAGGCTTCGTCCTTTATCTTAATCACATTACCCTAAATAATTCGGGGAAGTAGTAGTAAAATTATTGACTTTTAAAAAAATAATCACAATGAACATAATTTAAGTTTCTCAAATTCCCTTCAAATGTTTATTGAACATTTGGAGTTTTCCAGAACTTAACCTTTAGATTTGAAAGTTCCCCTGGTCCTTCTGGGAAAGGGCTTTCCCTTAATTTCCACTAATCCATATAAGAGAATGTTATGAATGTATTGAAATACTTAAGCAATATGGGAAGGACATTTGAGGGCATATTTAGTCAAACCCTAAAAGGCAAGCAGAGACTTTTGGTCCTAATCTCAGTGAGTTTCCTCTTTTGCCTGGTTTTAAAAATAAATTTTAACCAAAAATATGATTATTTGAAAATTACATCTAGAGTAATAAAAAATACCCCGAATTCCGTGAGTGCACAAAAATGCAGTGCACCTGCCAAATTTTAATTATTGGTTCATTAAACTTGAAGATGGTTTAGTGAAATAACGTATTGTAGAGTTCCACAAGCTGAGGGAAGTGAACCAACAAATTTACAAATTTCTGCCTGTTGGACAGCTGCCAAAAGGTTCCTGAAATGTCTTTGTTTTATTGATTAAAATCACAAAATGCCAAGAAATGTTAATCTTAGGATACTGACAGTGCTATAAAATTTTTGGTACTACATGTATATCTATACATACACTGGTTTTGTTTTGCTGCCTGGTTTTAATCAGTACCTGAAGAGGTTAGTTTGCAGAAAATATTCAAAGTACACAACCCAGTTAACATTGCTCTCAAAATGTTACTTTGATTTCTTGTGATTTTAATAGTGAAACAAACTATTTGATCAACAGGTTACTTTAATGAAACTAAAATATTCATCAGAGTAGAAAGAGAGGAACTGTATGGGCTCTACCACGCATCAAACTATGCAATGTGATGGGTTATAATTTTTCATAACTATAATCTTAATTCGGCAGACTCTGTCAGAGAAGTTCTTATTTGCATGATTCATCATTACTCTTATGCGATTTCCATTGAGTAAAGATTTTTCAGGGTTGAGAATTCAAAATTCTCAATAGTTACAATTTTATAAAGGTAATTTGGTTTTGGGCTGTTAAAATATTATTATAACAGTGATTCAAGCAGAAGCCTAGGAGAAGTAAATCTCAGTTTAAATGTTTTACATGTAATTGTTGTTTTTCTGACGTATTTGCTTCTGTCTTTTTTGGTATTTATTTTTAAGTGCTGTGGACATAAAGGGTAGGTCCATGTTCTTTTCTAAAGTTTGGCAGGGTAATTTAATTGTTGATTATTAATTTTTTTTTAGGTTTCTTCCTCTGATTTAAAAAAAAATAATTCAAAACAATGCATTATGGTAACTTAAGAAAAACAAATTAAATACAAAATTAAAATAAAAATGTCTAGTCAGGACCTCTAGGAAGAATACTTGCTTAAAATTAGAATAGCTCAGCTCCTAATAAAATGCCGAAACTTTGGCAAAAAAAGTGTGTTTGGTGTTTGTTTTGTGTTGGGAGCAACTATCCAGAAGTCTTCATTGAAAACCCCCTCCCACTCTGTTGGAAGCACGTACCAGCCAGCTCGTCCTGGAGATCACCCCGTTGTTCGGCGCTGCCGTGTCTGAGCACCTTCTGGGTGGAACCCAGAGAGCAGCGCGAGGGGTGTTACAGGTTGGCCGGTGTCCCTTTACGCTGGTTTTTTTGGCCGGCTTTCCAAGGAGGATGGGAGAGGCTGCCCTAGCGTGAGGAAGAGGAGGGGACTGAAATGCTGCAGAGAGCTTGTCTGCAAAGGCAGCAAATGTGCAGTGTACTCGGGAAATCTGTTTGGATTGTATAGTGATCACA